CAATTTTGCATACGTATATCTGAGCTATATGTGAACAACTACTTTGAAGATAACAATATGCAATATGTTAACCATTGTTAGTTTCCTATTATCTTATTTTGAAATTCTGTATTCTTTATTGTGTTTCTGTTTTTAAAATAAAATTTCAAAAGGTCAAAACTTAGTTTGCAATCATTACAATTAAATTTGATATAAAGTAATATCATATTTCAATAGTGATCACAATAATCTTTGAAAACACTTTGCTTTATTTTTATGTATTAATGAGTTTTCAATTCTTATTAATTTTTACTTCAAAAATAGAGGCTTTTACAAAATATTTTCTTAAAAATTGTTTCATAGTAATTACATGTGAATCATTTGTTCAAATTAATTGGTTCGTTTTGTAGGCAGTTTAGTTAATCAAATCATATTGGTCTCCATTTTCAAAACATCAAGTTGTACAGAAGTTGGGCTAAACAGTTTGCCAGGTACTTATCTGTAAAATAGAGCCTGAAATCAGTGATACATATTATGCAGAACAGGATCATAAACACTTTTAAATTTAAACGTCAGCTATCAAGGCTCATTTTAATGTTTTAAAGTATTTTGCTACTTAAAGACTGACACTATTTTTTAATTTTTACAAGTTAAGGCCATTAAAATTGTTGGTGTATTGGTAGAGAAACTGAAAGAGCAATAAGATGTTATAATTCTTTGGTAAAGAAAATACGTAGGCATCTTTCCTTAAAAAAATGTGCACATGAGAAGTGCACAGAGAAAACAGTTGATGATTTTAAAAGTCAATTGCCCAAAATTAAGTTTAGGATTAAAAACAGTTCTCTAGCAATGTACGCTCACTTAGGAAAAAAATGAGTGCTGTGAAAGGATGGTTTAGTGTTGAAGAAAACCTTTTGTTGCACATGTTCTACCTATAGCATCAGAAGATTTACTGAGCATGAAATGTGGTCTATTCCAAAACTGCATATGCAGTACTACTTTCCTGTTACTTTCCAGACACATTCCTCCTTGAATTTAAGGCTTTGCTCTTTTTATACCCATGGTCTAGAAGTCTTCCTTTACAAACTCACAGAGTTTTCCTTTAAATTCATGATCTATTTAAATGTCACATTATCAAGAGAAGCATTTTTGGTTTTTCTCATACAACCTTCCCTTTTCCATTAACTTTCAAAACTCTTACTCCACTTAGTATGTCTTCTGGGACACACTACTGTTTGACACTAAAGTATAACGTCTATGAAAACAGAGACACTGACCATTTCTAGTTTTCACTTGCAGTGTTACACACTTAGCACTAAAAATAATTTCTGGCAGATGCTGAATATTAATTTCACATGTTTGAATGAATTCCATGGATGTATTAAGGTTTGCAGCATCCATCTCCAATTTCCATTCAACAGTCCACAGAGATTTAGCATTACAGGCAGTGTAGGTGGGGTTGTGCACAGGAGTTAAGTGCTTTTATATTTACATTTAAGACATTTTTCAAATTAACAGGTCATGCTTGCTTTTAAGTAGCTCACATACAGAGGGAAGGCAAATTACTAAAAGTATGATTCTGGTCCAGTGAGATAGTAGCACATGGAAAATAATACGTAATCATTTGGGGAGAGTTGTTCAATTTTATACCTGCTGATGAGGAGCTGAATCACAGGCCAACACTCAAGTCATTAATTTCTAAGGCCCAACCCACTTTTCTGCATTATTCAGTCACTCAGATGATGCACGGCATCAAAAGATGCTAGACTTGGAAATAAATTAGATGTTTTTGAGGAGTTAAAAAATTATAATTACCTAGACTGTACTATAATTTAATATTTGGTGGGACCATAAAGGTATTTTTTTTACTAGTGATTAACTAGACTGGCATTTCAATTAATAAATAAATAGTCAGGACACTTTTTAGTGGAGTAATACTTCTGCAAATAAATTAGTCAGTATACTTTTTAGTGGAGTAATACTTTTCCTGAGGAGATAGGAAAATTTTATATATCAATGTTAGATGCCTGTAGCTTTTGAATATGCTATTTGCTTATATATACAAGATATGAAAAGTGTAAATAGTACAGCATCTCTTTCTTAGATAAAATCATAGTTAGTATTTGTTTTAAAAAGCACATTCTTTTGCTTGTATTCAGGGTATTACTAGTAAACATTTAAAACAGTCATACTGTTGTATTTTTACTTTGAATACAGCTGCACAGCTCTTAGAAAAGAAGAATGGCTACTGTTAAGAGTTTTTGAAAACAAGGAAGACTGTGAGAGATACTCTGAGCTGAAATATATTAATATGTAGATATAAAAATGAGTGAAGGCCTACAGTGCTCTAATTTCCTACTCTAGAAATTTCCTACTCTAAAGTTTGGCACTTTAAATAACCTGTATTTCCACATTGCATTGAATGAGAGATCAAAAGATATCTTGAACTTATAAGTAACATATGGAGACTTTTGTTGATTAAAATCTATTTTCAAGGTCAGATTAATCAATTATTTCTGCCAGAGTAAATATATGAAATCTGTAATCAAAATCAGAGCCAAATGCAAAACTGTACAGAATAGTCACTCCAGGGCAAAAACAGGGTTGCTGAATGTATACTTAAGAAGCAACTGATCGGACAGCTTGCTTTTGACAATAATTGCTTAAAAGCCCCATTAGCAAATATCAGCAGAACAGCTTTGTAATTTAGCATGTCTTTTACTTTGAATGCGGTCTTTAAAGTGTTTTACACATCATGATTTCTACAAACACAATTTGTTTAAGATTGACTACCCATGATTAACATTTTCCTTCACTATTTACTATCTCAATAATTACTCTTTACTGAACTATACATCTTAGCTTTTTTATTATGCAGTGAAAGTTAAAACCAAACATTTTCTCAGTGTTGCTTTCTTGTTTTGCTCTCTAAATGAAACACCTTTCAGAACCATTTAAATAAACTATGAAAAAACAACACTGCAAATATAGCTCTTAGGGATTGAGCAAGTTAGTTAATTAGGATTTATAGCAAAGATTTCTAATTATGAGAGACATAGTCTTAACTTTATAATCTTATTTACCCAACTAGAATCAGAATAATCAAGGAACATTTCTTGTAACTATAGCTAAATGTTTCTAAGTGATTAAGAAAGACCTTTCTAAAATTTACATTTGTTTAATTGTAAACAGAGGGCACACAATTAAGTCAGAGTTGTTTGATTTTTTTTTTATTTCTTAAATATGAGAATAGAGGTACAAGTACTTGAAAGAAGGGAAAATGAGTGCAAACTTCCTAACTTTGTGTTGTACACTGTGTACACAAGACAGCAGTATTAACAACACACTTACCTATATTTTTTAGTTTCCAATATTGTATTTCTGTACTTATAATACAAGTGCAACCTCATGAACAATGTTATTCTGTTTTCTTTTCCCTACTTCTCACTGTGATGATATATCAACATGTTCTGATAAGTGGATGATTTCCTAACTTTCTTCAGCTACTTAAAGATACCCACTCATATTTCCACATTGTAGATGAACTCTTCAGTTCCTTCCCAGAATCCTGCTGGACCTCTGTGAAATACCATAACACGCATCCTTACTCCCTTACCACTCAGGTTCTCAATCTTTATTTGTTTTTTTCTATTCAGAATTCGTTCCTTTCTCCTGAGTTTATTTTGCCTAAGAACATTCTACTCATTCCACGGAAGAGAACTTAATTTAAGGGTTACTGACATGGGCAGATTCACCCTCATGCTTCCGCAATCGCAGTGCCCTGGGCTGCTTATCTGGGCATACGCAGTACTCATCACATATTTTAAAAATTGTTTACTTTCAGGCTCTCCACAGGACTTCAAGGTTGAAAGAGTTTACTCAGTATTGTACACGAAGAATATACTCAAAAAGATGTTTAATACATTGAAAATGTATGAATAACCCTTATTTTCTACTAGTATAAATTAATGATATGTGACCTATAAATGATAAGACAAATCATTTTTCTGTGGTCCCTTCAGTCCAATGAAATTGAGATGTGTTACTGTATAACTATGGGAAATGCTTCTCAGTCAATGGAAAGAAAATTCCGACTGATGCTACAAGTGAAGTGATAGAAAATCCTTTCCTCAAAATGAAATTATAAAATTCCCTTATTATGGCTGGTACACATGGTAACAGAACATGTGGTTCTAGAACATTCCACCTTTTATAAACTCCTTTGGATTTCAATACTAGGCTCTGACCTTTTTGAATATGGAAGAATAAGTGATATATCCACAGATTGCATTATTTTATAATATTATCCAGGCCTGGAAAATTTACATTTTCATGTATGTGATTCCCTAACTTGAGAGCTTCAAGTACAGAGGGCCTCATAAGAACAGCACATTGGGAGATTATTCACAATGAGGAAAGACCATGTTAAGACACAGAGAAGATGGAGATCTATATCCAAGAAGGCAGGGCCCTGAACGAAATCACATACAGTATTTAAAACTAGATTTGTCTTTATAAATTTGTATCATACATATGTGTCACTTATAATGCCTTTTGCTGTAAAACAATCATGTGTGTCATATTATTTATGAACACTTCTTTTAAGGTGTTTTAAATCACTGAAGCTTTTCCTGTACTGTGTTTTGTAATATAATTATGTTATAAGTGAATTAAAGAGAGTATGTACTTATAAAAGTCATGAGTGTTTATGTCAGACTATATTGCAATACTAATTTATAGTAGTATAAAAGGAACATTTAACTTAATTTATCAGATTTTTAAGACTGTTGAATAACTGTTTTACAAAGGGAATGTTAGAATGATTTAATAATGCAGATATGAAGTTATAATATCAAAAATCTTTCTGCATCTTGGGAAGGAACCAAACAACCACCAGCAAATGTGTGTAGTGTCTAGCATATACGGTGGCACTGCACCTACAGTGAGTATAAGGCCATCAGGGATACTGCACACGAAAAGGAATTAAGAGTCTTGTTTGAGAGAACAGCAGTGGAACTTACCATTGTGATCCGTGGTCACTGTAATAGCTGTGAATGGCTTGGGAGAAAAACTCAATTCAGAAACTCCATTCATGGCTTCAATTTCAAAGGTGTAATTCACGTGAGACACGAAGTCAAGTACTATTACAGAATTGTTGATCAGGCCAGTGTGTCTTGGGATAAAGCGGAGTCCTCCACCGCAGTCCTCACACTGCCTCGGGTCCAAGCCACATTTCTTACAGATGACGCTGTATGTTAGATCTTTCCTCCCCCCTGTGTCACTTGGTGGGCTCCATTCCAAAATGAGGGCTGTTTCATTGATGTTAAAAACCACATTCCTAGGAGCTGAAGGCGGTCCTACGGAAAAGCAATTAGAAAAGGCACATGTATAGAACAATGCATCTAGAATGCTAACGGGAAAACCATACCAGTACATATTTTCATGCTAATGTGAGCTTTTCCAAGGAACTACAGCATTAAATTATAGACACAAAATGATAAAGACATAAAATTAAAGTAAAGATATATAATTAAGTCTGGAGAGAAAGGAATTTTTAAGTGAGAAGTGTCTGTATCCTAACTTTGGGGTGTATGAATTCCAATATTTGATGTCAATGCTAGCAGATCTCCAAAATACACATTAACTTAATTTCTTAAATTTGTTGACTGAAATATATATATATATATATATATATATATATATGTTTAAAGTTATACGATAACTATAATTATTAATGGTCACAGTACCATTTTCTTTTTTTAAGATTAAGTTTATTGGGGATATATAGATCTCATATTCATCATAGGGAATTTGTACCTGTACATGATATATCTTGGTTCCTCTTTTTTTCCTATTGCTCTTCCTTCAACCCATTGTCCTCTTCTTATTTACAAAGATTTTTTTCCATTTATCCATCTTTTCTCATTTTTTTCTTTTCCTTTCCTTCCTGTCTCCCTCCCCCTTCCTTGTTCCTTTTCCTATTGAACAATTTCTTCATATTTCACAATATGTGTTACTCATTTTGTTCTTATTTATAATTTCAGTTTCTCACACCAGAGAGATAAAGTGATATTTACATATATGTGTTCAATTTATTTCACTTAAGAGTATGGTCTCAAGGTGCATCCATTTACCCAGAAATGTCTCAAGTTTACTCTTCTTTAAAGTTGAGTAGTATTTCATTGTATATAAAAAAATCTTCTTTATTCATTCATTTGTTGACGGGCATTTGGATTGTTTTCAAGATTTAGCTATTACAAATTGTGACACTATAAACATGGGTGTGCTGTGGTATGATGCTTTTAATTCTTTCAGGAAGTTACTCAGAAAGGGAATAGCTATGACAAATGGGACCTCTAGTCCCAGTTCACTGAGGAATCTCCAGACTGATTTCCACAGTGGTTGTACCAGTCTTCACTACCACCAAAAGTGCAGAAGGGTTCTTTTTTCCCACAGCCCCTCCAGCATTGCTTATTGGTTTATTTCTTGATGATAACTATTCTTTCTGGGGTGATATGGACTCTCAGAATTTTTCTAATTTGCATCTCTTCAATGACCAGTGATATTGAACATTTTCTCATATATTTATTTGCCATTTTTATTTCTTCATCTGAGAAGTATATATTCATTTCAGATGCCCATTTGTGGAATGGGTCTTTAAATTTAGGCAGCCTGATTTTTTTTCAGTTCTTTATATGTTCTAGATATAAGTGCTTTGTCTGAGGAACAGTTGGCAAAAATTTTTTCCCACTTGGTGGGTTGTCTTTTCACTCTGTTGGTGATATCTTTTGCTGGGCAAAAGCCTTTTAATAAGATGAGGTTGTTGATGCATCGTAATATTTCCTGTGCAACTGGGATTTTGTTCATGTACACCTATGTCTTCAAGAATTCTCTCTGTTCTCTCTTCCAGCAGATTTAGTATTTCTGTTTTAATGTTTGTATTTTTGATTCATTTTGATTTTTGTTTAGTGCATGGTGAGAGATACACTGTTCAGTCTTTTATTCTTCATACTAAGATTGCTGTGTAGATAAACCCCAAATTCCTTATCTCTGAAGATCATTCAGGTTCTGTTTCCCAAAGTTCATGAATTGACCATATATTTAAAGTGACAATTTGGAGGAAGAGGAAAAATAGACATTGGAAGAAGCAAAAGCCTTTTTACTAAGGCCTTGACATCTGAGGACATGAGAGCAGTACATGGTTGGAAAGGGCCATACACAAGGCACGGCCACTGGAGGAGGATGTACATTAACTTCCCTAAGTGGAGTAACAGTGACCTTAAGGGGAAAGATGTCCCTAAGAGAAACCTGCACGACCCTTTTATTTGTTGACAAGGTTGCTGAAACCAATTTTTCCAAAGGAGTCAGTAACCACCTTCCTCCTCACTAGTTCTCTACACAAAGCACACTGCAAAAAGCAAAATAGCATTTCCTCAGTCCATGCTTCTCTTAACATTACTCCTTTACCCTTCTGTGAGTCCTTCAAAACTCAGCATTTTATCAGTCGTGGAACAAGTATCATGTGGAGGACTAAATTGGTGCCAGCACTATTTTGATGCTAAATACTATTTACAAAATATCAAAGAATTCATAGACTATGAAATGAAAGCTTATCAACAGACGTTTTGAAAATAACTCATTGTACAAATGGCTGATCCAATAACATCCCTGCTGTAATGTAGAAGGTTCCATCCTAAGAAATCTGAACAAGTTCTCTAAATTTCAGTTTCTATGAGAATCTGCTTAAAGAGTGGGAAGGAGTTCCTCTGCAATATTCCTCGTAGAAAGAAACTCAAGTTTTGATGTAAGCCTGTTTTGGATTTCAATCTACATTGTTTCATTCATTAAATGTTTTATTTAGTGATTAATATGTAGTTGCTAGATCTGGGGCACACAGTGGTAAGTGTGGCAGGTTATTCTGTAACTTATATTCCATGGAATACTTATGTACACACATATTAGGTAAATAAATACAAATTGTAATAAATACAATCATGAATCTTAAAGACAGGAGGAGAAGAAATAAAACCTATCAGCAGGATCCCTGCTTTTTCAGTAACATTTTGAGAAAGCCTTGTGGAAATGATAAAGAAGATGTGCGGAAGGATAGGAACAATTTTTAGGTCAAAATTGTGTGGGTTTTAGGCAAGAAAAGTCTTGAAATAGTTCTAGAACTGAAGAAAGGCACTGTGAGAAAAGAGGGAAGATGCATGTTGTGAGTTTTAAGGAGTAGGAATTTGCTGGATACCGCTCCTACTATGACTGCTAGGACTTATGGGAATGAATCTGGAAATTTTCCTCAGTACAGAAAAAGAAATGGATTTTGGGTGTGGAAGTGATATGCTTTGAAAATAACATTCTGGCCAGAATGTGGTAAATGGTTGAATGAGAACAGAGCACGCAGAGCGGGATCTGTTGTTTAGAGTTAGGGCAGCTCCATATTAATCATCAATCCACTTGACCCCCATCTTGACTTTGAGAGACTGAGAATTATTATTATGCATTTCCCTGTTTCTTTTTGCCAGATATCGACATCACTAGCCTGTGGTGTAAATACCTCAGCCACCTGTATGTGTACTTCCTAAAGCTAGACATAGAACTGCAATGGGTAATTTTTTTAAGAGGTTACTGCGGGACTTGCTTTATGCCGTTTCATGTTCTGGAAGTGTTATAGAAATTGCTGTCTTCAGATGTGAAAATATGGAGGAGATTATAAATCTTAGCACAGGAACAAATGTGCTTTTTACCTTCAAGCTAGACTTGTACCTGGGAGCTGAAAAGTCATTATTATCATAATGATGTCTTCCTACAGAATGACATTTTAATATTGTTGGCTTTTTCTCTGATTTCTAATGGAAAACATGAATTATTATTCACTTGCACCTCCATAAGTAGGAAGAATGTTATTAATTATGTTATGGGTGTCTACAAGTATATAACTGTTCCCCTGGGGATATTTAAAAAAAATAAAAATACTAACACCCTTCTCACTTAAGGGCCCTCATACCAATTTGCATGACGATTAAATAGCTTTTTAATTGCTGTTAAATTATGCTTGCTAAGCTGTGATTTCATGCAAATATTATGCTGTAATGACATGCAGTGAATCATTTACTAAGATTTAGAACTTGGAACAAAGAGAGACAATTAATTCTAATCCTCAGATTTACCCAAAGTATGTGTCACTGGGCTTTTACGAATGTGTCCCGATTGTTTTGTTATCATTTATAAATTATACAAAGACTATATGACACATTGAAAAAATAACTCAGAAGCAATAGCCCATTTAGAGAAATCAGCCTTGAAAACTCTCAGGGATTTCCTTATGTTAGTTTTTTTTCTTTAAAAAGGAAACAAAAAATCATGTATAAAACAATCTCCACCCTTCAACTTCCAGACTAACTTATTAGAAAATAGCAGTTATTTTGATTAGCAACTACCAATTTTTCAAGCCATCATATAATAAACCTTACAGTAAAATTACAACTTTATTCCTACTAGTTTTTCTAATTTTTTTTCTACCACTGTTTCTACTACAGAACACTTTTTGCTTCAATTTGAATTTTCCTTTGCACTTCTAAAGAATAGTGTTTAAAGGGTAAAATTTATGAGAAGTGTGTGATGGTACTCTCTTTTTCCTTTCCAGAAAGTTACTTTGCATAGCAGTGGTCAGATATGCTGTAGCCTTTGATTTGTTTTATTTCAAGATTTTTTTAAAAAGTAAATTGTTTTTAAACAAATCTGTGCTTCTCAAAATATTTCTGTGCAATATATCCAGTCCCATGAAATATCAAATAAAAATGAGTGTAGTGCTAAAATCAGATTCTTCTGGCAGATTGATGCTGAGACAAAAGTAACAGAATTTGCTTCAGTTGTTGACTGCAATGTTTCCCCAAAATTTGTTCATAAGATCTTATTTACCAAGAAGAATGTGGGTATTTTGCAGGACATTCTTAAATGAACACTACCACCGAAGAGAGCAAGCATAAGGTCACATTTCAGACATTGCCTCAAGTGCTATAGATTCATATTTCAGTATTTATAATCACAAAGATAGATTAATGCATTAAAATGAGTACTTTATCATAAGGAATAAAGAGTGATTATCCACATATTAACTCTATAGCTAATGGTAGTTTTCAGATATATTATTTGATCATAAGAACAAAGGTTTCATTAAAATATCTGAGGATACCAAGCCATACACTTGTATTGCTTATTAAGTTCTACTTTACCAGCTTTTAACTTTCTATCTTCATGAATATAATGTCTACCAGGAATGTACTAAAAGAGAGCAAATTTGTTTAGAAAATTTAGAAAAGAATTTAGAAAAGAGAGAAAATTTAGAAGAGAATTT